CAACTGAAGGTTATCATGAATGTCATTGGTGAAATAATATAGGGCGCGAGCTAATGAAGAATATCAATGTCGTTCACGACAACACGAAAAACAAATAACTATCATCAAATGAGTTAAAGTTAAGTATTTATATGAACCTATTCATTGATTATGAATAGGATGTTGAATCAGTACTATTTTTGCGAACCCTATTGAATGATTGTATTTCAGGGATCTGATATCCGATTCAAGAGATAGTCTATTGCTTAAATTTAATAATTTTAAACAGAACAAGAAAATGTAGAATACTCGAAAAAAAATTGATATCTTATTTATTATGGTCCATAATTCATTTAAATCGTAAGAGATCAATATGAGTATGGTGGCATGTATGAAAGAATATTAAAATAATTTCCTATTGTAATATTTATTTGTTACAATGATATTCGAAAACCTGTAATGCATATCGTTCAAGCAATGTAAGTGAAATGAGTTTAATGAAATGAGTTGAGTGTGCTTATAAAAGTTTTTCTTTTAATAGAATAGAATAAAATTGATACATATTATTTACTACTTTGAAAATTAATGTGTAATTTGAAATGAATAGTCTCTAGAAAATATAGTCTTTCTTTTTCTGATTAATATTGTTCAGTATAATATTAGCAATGAATGATTGAATTGAGTAATATTTTTACCACAATTAATTGGTTTACACAATACAAAATCTTTTAGAAAAATAGATATTGAAACGATAGAAGAATGCGTTGGAGTGATCTGTTGATAAAGCTAAGGAAAGAAAGATTACTATCTGTCTTTCAGTTGTGTTACTCTGTGTTTGCCATCCTCACGTCACACTTCTTTGAGCGAGATGCGAAATCAGTCTTCAACATTGATGTTTATTAAATAACATTTTGATAAAGATAACAGTTGGCATGGTATGAAACTGAGTATTATGGCATCGTAGTCGTGCCATATCAGTATGATAGTTATTGATATTTTTGTTTTGTGAAACTCACATATATTTTTGAAGAAAATAGTGAGTGTGAGTTTTAAATTGAGGTCTTTGCGGCTTCCCGTCACCCCTTCCCTCTTAAGCTCCAGCGACCAAAATGGCGGGATATTAAAGGCTTTCCCAAACACCTCCATAGCAATGATCTCTAGCAACCATATGGCACGAAACAATGCATTATTGGGCATGTTTCCACAGCAACTGTTACTCCCTCCCCCTCCATTACAGATCATTACAAATAAATTAACTCATTAGGTAGTCAGGAAAATGATGAGTTAATTACTTAATAATCAATTAATAGTTTTTTTTTATATTTAATATTTTTAAATATATTTTTAGTATTTATCAGCATTTCGCATGACTTGTATGAATCTCTTTATTAAGTAAATACAAATTATGCATGAAATATGTATCGAACAAAAATAAATTTTTTGTTACAGTAATTATAAATATGAAGTTTTGATAAAATAAAATATCGGAGCGCGCTTATTTAGTATAAAACTTCTCATAATTCTGATTCATTCATTTGTTCAATATTATTTAATACGTTGTCTTGAAACTTTAGATGATTTTTGATAAATTCATAACAGTCAGAGATTGTGAGGTGCACATTTCAACACCGAAGGGGCTGCACTGACAAGTTTCATGTAAAACTTGATGATTTAATTAATAGAAAATCAATCTTTTGAAAACAAAAACCCTTTTCAGTTTAACATTTCATTGTTAAGTTGTTACTCTAATACCAATTGATGGTGAGCAGTTGAGAAGATCACCAAAAAAGTGCTCGATTCAACGCATTGACGCCGTATTGATAGGGAATTTATTGAAAGCTTTTGAATCCAAAATCTTTGAATACTTGCTTATGATGAACGAAGTGGATAAAATCCAGTAACTAAATCAAAAGTTTATTCAGGTGTGACAATGTTTTAATATCAGCGATCATATATTCGATATCTTTCGAATTTTGACGTTCAATATGACAAGCAAGTTCGATCATTATTAAACTTATATCAACATCAAGAACATAACTATAATTGAGGGAATTCCATCGATGGGAGTAGTAACCATTACCAGAATTCAAATCAAGTACCCATTTGTCTGCTAATAATTTTTGCTCGTCTAACTATGATTTCCACATGCAATTATGTATTGTATAATTTTCAAGAGCTTGGCGAGCATTCGTTCCTTTATATTTCACGTAATGAAAGGCAATTTCATCAAATTGTGCTTCATTATTAGCCATAGTTTGTTGTTGATGAATCATAATCAATAGATCAATAGAAGATGTGTATAATTTGTCACAAACGATTGTTGAATTGGTTTGCATCTAACTTCTCTCGTCGTATATAGCGACTCTGCTTAAAATGCATGCAGATAAAAGTGCACGATTAACTTTTTTGTCAGATCACATTTATCTAATATACTAAAACATACGCTGAGATAAGAACGAACAAAGCAATGCTTCTCTTTTTGTAATTGTCATTTCATTTTCTTCTCAACAATAACTACAAATAGTTTATGCATGTTAAATATGAGTATAATTTGTTTGTCAAATGAATGAGACCGGAAATTCTCTCCATGTTTGGGCACACAAATTAACCTAAGTGCGTAGATACAACCGTGTGACTTCACAATGGTTTTCTTCTTTCAATCAAGTTTTTAAAATAGGCCATGTACTCTATTTTTCAGATACTTATAACCACTCATGTTACTTTATTTTATTGCGAGTATAGTGTGAAGTAAGTAAATGACAAATTCACCCCAGAGTTTTAACTGATAATGACAAACGGCTACTCTTGATTTTTTGAGTTTCTGCATGTTTTTTGAAAAGATTGGTCATTAATTTTTTTTCACAAATCAAACACTTGTTTCTGATATTGAACGTTGTGTCCGTATACGAACATGCATCAAACTATGCTATTCAGTAAAATATTCATTTTACTATCTATGATTAACACATCTAGTTATGTAATTGGAACAAAAACGGATAAGTATTTAGGATTATAATCTATTGCAGATTGATGTGTAGTTCTTATCATTTATAGCATGCATTTCACACGGATATAAGAGATTCTACAGTAATATAAGGTAAATATCTGACAAAGGATGCTTCTTTTCTTTTTTTTGGTCTCTTTTGGCTTTCAAACACTGTATAACTAATGACGTTGAAAATTTTACCACAGATAGAACAGAAAAAATAAGAAAACATGTGTTTGATAAAAGGAACTCTTGAAATGAGTTTTGATGACTTTTCATAAAAGAATGTAGTTTTCCATAAAGCTGCATCCTAGTACATGACACTCGCAATCAAACTTTATCTGATTGAACTAAAAGATTTTTTTGAAGATACTTCGGGCTATTTCTTAAAGAACAATTTAAGCTTTTCAAAAAGTTCATTATCTCGTCTTTTTAGAAGAGAAGCACACAACCGTCCAGGGACAAAACCAAGGTGTTGATTTTCAGAACCTCATAAATCTGAATGAGAAAGTCAAAAACGAAAGCGGTCGATTTTACTTCTGGATTTTGCTTCCAGATATCTATGGTGACATAATTTCCGCCCGATCCGGATGAAATTAGAAGAAGTTCGTAAGCAGCCAGAATTGAGAAAAATGGTGTTCAATGTGATAGTAAGTAAAAGAAAAGAATTTCAAAATGATTATTCTGGAAAAAATATTCACTTAATTTTGTAACTATGTAACAATAAGCTGTTTCGAGTTAAATGACGCCTCCAGTGTCTCGCAGCTACTCGAAACTATCATACATTATGCCCTGTTCAAAAGATGGTTTCCTTTAACTTTATAGTTTTGTAATGATATTCATGTGTGATTGACATTTATTTAGTGCGCAAAACTAATAAAGAATTTTTTATTCTATCAAGTTTTCTGGTCACGGGTAGATGTCAAGAGAGATCAAACTTAGGGAAACTATTAATGTTGAGAAGTGTTATGGTAGTGAAAGAGAAGTGCGACGTTATTGGTGAAGTCAATAAGAAATCGGTTTGACTCATAAAGAAGTTCATTTCATTTTTATAGGATCAGAAAAGTAAAAAAAAGACAACTGACGCCAGTATAACCGTTGGTGAAGTTTGAGTCCATGTTTTGATTGTGTGTTAGGATGCTGACTTCTATGGCTTCAACATTGAACTGTGACGTTAGCCTTCATGTTCAATTTGACTTTTTTCCATGAAATGATCGCATTAGAAAATATTAGAGAGATGGATCTGAACATGATAAAAAAAATGTCTCAGTCAAGTGTGGTATTCAACGTTTAATTAATGCAGGTCTTGATAAAAATGACTAAATGAACAAAATTCGATATTGCAGCAGATATATTCCTCTCATAGCTTAAATATTTTTTATTTTATACAAATGATCTTTCAAAGATTGAGAAAAAAAAGTACTCGAGAACTTGCTTTAAGTTAAATCTTCTTCTCCAGTTGAAGGAATTAATCATTTCAGGTGATGTGAAGTATGGATGTCAGTGTTCTTTACTTCTCCATTTACACTCATACTCTCAAATAATTTAGACACAATAAAACAATTAATTATTGAATACTCAGAAAGATTTGATTATTATATACCCAATCCTCGAATATGACCAGCATGAGTACAAACAGGAACAATATTAGCTAATCATAAAGGAATTGTTGAATGCAATACAAACACCAATCCATTTTTTATTATGAGGTGAAACTGGTGTGGATATATTCGTTAGTGTTCCTCTGAGAGAAGACTAGACCCGTATTCACACTCTACATTCACACCCCAAAAACCTCAAAAAGTTTTCCGAGTTCAAAAGTCTAAAACTTTTATTTAGCTAGACCGATGCCCAGCACATTACGCTCTATGTTGTAGAAACTTGTTCCTCATTAACAGTGTGCGTTTCACAGTTATCCACATTTGTTTATTCGTGCTCTATTTGAAAAACTAATAACAGTCATTCTTGTGATTGCTCTAGATCATCGGCTGTCAGGAGTAACGGAGGATATTTCTGTCGAAATTCAGATATATCAATGTCGTCCATCACTCCAATATCGCTCAAGTTTGTCGTTCATGAAAATGCTGACGCTACGATAACAATCGATAACAAAAAAGACGCTGACTCCATTGAGACAGGTACTGAACTTACTGACATGATCTACAAAGCTGAATTACCTCGTTCATTATCCTTCTTTTCTGTACTTGGACTCTCGTTTGCTATTATGGCCGTACCTTTCGGTGAATCAGTGACTCTTTCTATTGGACTCATAGATGGTGGTCCAGTGACTATCTTCTACGGTTGGATATTACTCACTATCATTTCAATATGTATTGCTTCAAGTCTGGCGGAAATTTGTTCAGCGTATCCGACTTCGGGTGGTGTCTATTACTGGTCCGCAATGTTAGCAAATGAGAAATGGGCACCTATTGCTTCTTGGACAACGAGATGGGTAGGTCTTGTTGGAAATTTGACAGTGACCACGTCCATTTGCTTTTCCGGCGGACAATTAGTATTATCTGCTATTGGACTTTGGAATACAACCTATATACCAGATGCTTGGCATGTCCTATTGATGTATTGGGCAGTCCTTCTGATAGCGTTGTTAACCAACATCTTCGCCGCAAAATACTTAGGTCTTATCAATACCATCTGTGTTTTTTGGACGGGAGCTTCTGTTTTGATTATATTAGTTACGCTACTAACTACGGCAAAGGCAGGAAGAAGAAGTGTGGAATATGTGTTTACTGAGTTCAATGCAACAAGATCGGGTTGGGCGCCAGGATGGGCTTTTTTCGTTGGGTTACTTCAATCTGCTTATACCCTCACTGGCTATGGTATGGTGGCAGCCCTGTGCGAAGAAGTTCAAAGTCCAGAGCGAGAGGTGCCAAAAGCCATGGTGCTTTCTGTTATTGCAGCTGGAATAACAGGTGTCATTTACATCATCCCAATTCGTTTTGTCATGCCCGATGTTGATAAACTACTCTCTGTACCGAGAGGTCAACCAATTGGATATATCTTCATGGAGGCGACAGGTTCAGCGGGTGTTGGGTTTTGTCTCTTGTTTCTTCTCCTTGGTATTCAATTTTTCGCTGGAACCGGTTCCATGACAGCCGTTTCTCGATGTCTTTACGCATTTAGTCGAGATGGTGCAGTACCAGGTTCGAATATCTGGTCAAAAATAAACAAACGATACGATGTTCCACTCCATGCTTTATTGCTCTCAACTCTCATCCAGGGTCTCCTCGGTCTCATTTATCTTGGCTCATCAGCTGCATTCAACGCATTCACCGGCGTGGCTACAATATGTCTTTCTGCTTCTTATGCATTACCCGTTTTCGTACTTCTCTTTCGAGGACGTCATCTAGTCGATAAAGCTCCTTTTCATCTTGGCAAATTTGGCTATGTTATTAATATTATCACAATCCTTTGGATTTTATTAGCTATCGTGATATTTATGATGCCAATAGCAATACCAGTTACGCCTTCAAGTATGAATTATGCAAGTGTACTCTTCGTTTTCTTTGCTGGAGTCAGCATTTTATGGTATATCGTATCAGGAAATAAACATTTCACTGGTCCACGCATACTTCTGCTAAAATAACTGTGAAAGAAAAACAATGCTAAACAACATTAATTTGGGATGATGAGAGCAAAATTATTGCTGCTTCTAATCGTAGTTTGTTTGTTTTTTATGTAAGATTTGAATTCTCATCCACCTAATATAGCATAATTGCGAAAGATAAAATGATGTCAACAAAAAATATAGCATTAATTAGATAAGTAGTTTTATGAGTCTTCGAATAACCTATTACTTCTGTCAAAGTTGTGTCAAAGTGTCGAAAAATCCATAAAGAACACAACGTGCAAAGGGAATTGTATGAAACTTAAATAGGGTTTCTTCAGCATTGCAGGTTTCTTTGAGCTAGTATGAAATTATTTTAGCGAAACTAACACCAGAAAAGTAACTATTATTGTTTTTAATTGGCAAAACATATGCCAATAAAACTTGTCTTGGTTTCCAATGAAAAACTGCTCAAGTGAAAATAGGTTGCCTTTTTCGCGCTGATGCGAGATCTCAACTTAATTTTAGGCTTACCATTCGCATATACATACGAAACATTAAGATACGCTGAAACTTTGAACAAGTTGTGACATGTAAATAGCAAGCAGTTTGCATTTGTGAGTGTGCGGGTGTTGGCATGATGCATCCAAGGACACCATCAGCCACAGTCACACCTGCAATCATAACTGATTGAGTGCAAGAAGTAAAAGATTTCATACTCTTCGCAGTCATCGAGCTTTACGTTGTTATACTTATTTTTTTTATTAAAAAAGATCTGAATCAGTGTTTATAAAGCAAGAATTAAAGAGTTGAATTATTCAAAATCGATAATTACGAAAAAAATTGAAATAACTAAATAAAAAGTACGTTACTTATTGTTTTACTATACCGGAAAAAGCTTCATGTTGGTATTGAAATCGATAGTAATCGTTTTCACCATGATTCGTAAGCTTGATCTATACAAATCAAAACTTGTGTAGCATCCTCTTTCATCAGAAAGAAACTTACCTCAATTGATTGAAATACAGTGGGGACACACGGTTTCTTTTTCTAGTAAATCAAACAAATATACAAGTTTCAAATTAGAGCATTTATTCTCATAATAATAAGAAAATTTTCGAACTTATACGATCATTTTCAACCAAAATACTGGGACTTGTAAACAGGTGTTAAAACACATAACAAACAAAAATAAAAGGAAAAGCAAACTGTATATTCTTGATAATATTATAAGCAATAACATCATAAACATAGATCTGATAACTTATAAATCCATTGTAATTTAAGATAACTTAATATTAAGTAGAACATAAAACATGAGTTATATAAGTAGGTACTTAGATATTTGGGATAAATCTTATTGTTTTTTATGATGATCCTAATGAATTACGCAGTGTGGGTATGGATGGGTGTGGATATGGATTGAATTAAGAAGAATACACCTACACCCACACCCTTTTTACGGATAAAATTATCGAAATTCAGTTAAAGAAATATCGCAAACAAGTGACACACTCATTGTTATACTTTTTCTTTGAATAATCGTAACATGGAAATATCTTATTTTATTTTTCTTGAAAAAGAAACGATATATTAAAGTATAAAAGAAAAAAATCGAAACAGTTTCATGAGAAATCTTGAGATATTTAATGTTCTTTTTCGTATTATACGCCATTCATCGCTATCATCGAGAAAAGAGAAGTATGTAAAGAACATAAAAGAAACGATGATAAGCGCATTGTAAAATATATTCAGTCGTAAACAAAACAAAATAAAAGTGATCTCTGGTGAATAAAACATGAACGCAAATAGAAAATCATCAACAATAAAAGTGGATTACGATCGGTAATTTATTGTTTTATAGAGTTGATTAGATCAATTTTATTTTACTGACAATTAGAGGTGTTACTTTATGTTTACTTTACTTTATAAGTATAAATAAAATGTTTATATTTAAAAAATAAAGATAAATAAATTCTTTATTCTTGAAAAATAAAGAAAATATAAAGATAGATGTAAGATTTTTTCTATTAATGAAAAAGAAACAAATCCGTACCATAACAATAGGATATGTCAACCAAACGAACTTGATTTATTAAATACATATCTTCGATCTCAAAATCGAATGTGTAGAAGATTGAGTTTTATAAAATAAAGAAAAAAATCATTACTTTATGTTATAACATTTTTTGTTGACAAGAACTGTCATTATCATGTAAGTGAATTACAGAATTACCGGTAGCCTTCATGTAAACTCATACAAATAATTCTTTTTAACCCAGTCTTATTTCAATAAGGACATGATCAAAACGACTTTGGAGTTCTGATGGCCAAGAGCACTTCATTATCTTGTGACTCAGTGTTTATCAATAGTCTGATAATAATTTTCCAGACAAGAGCATAAGCAAAGACTACAAGCTCACAACTTTAGCTTATGACTTTTCTGACTTCATCGCAGAAAAACATCAAAAACAACTAATGAACTTTTAATTCAAATGTTTCTCTTCTCCTTGATTGATGTCTTGTCTACAATAAATTTCGATTTCTCGCAGTATAGTACGCAGCGATACAAGAAGACTAATTTGTTCGAATAAAATGAGCATATAGAATCTGTTCGTATTGTTTCTTTACCACTGGATACTACCTATTTCATATACCTCTTTATATATATACATGTATGAGATAAAAGTTATCGTATATCTACGATTCTGTTAAATTAATATCGTCTAACGACCTAATTTATATGTATAATTACAGATAAAAAAGATAAATCTTTAGTACGATCTTAGCATGAACCTATTGGAAAAGATTCATTCATCATAAACATTACTAACACACATTTTTGGTCACTTAAATTGTGATGACATATTCAACAACGGGCTAGTGGTCAAGACGCTATTTCTTAATGTGTTACTTTCCGCAGAGTTCTTGAAAAGTATCACATAATTAATAATCTGAGAAATGAATCTCACTTGACTCTTCGACCAAAGTGACTTTCTCCAATAACTTTTCACTGCCGACAAATGTTTGATTGGTGAATCACTAAATACTCAAAAACTAGCGGCTAATCCAATACGTAGGTGTTCGAGCGATATCAAGTGTGAGTATGGGAGTGAGGTGAGAGAAAATCCCCACATCCTTTGCTCTCTTACATTTTTACTAAAATTTCTTATATTATATTATATAATTTTTTCTAATTATGTGATGTAAAATTACTATTCATGCTTTGTATTCGTTTACTCTTATCCTTATTCTAATTATGACAACCATAATTCTTCGATTTCACTTGTGGAGAAAAAATGCAACTCTGTAAATCTCACAGAAGAAATAAAACACTCGACCATGGTTCTCCAACACTTTAGATTTAAATTGGCTTTAAAGTAATCATATGTTTTGTATTAACCATGATCAAGTTTTCATATTTTATCGAACAAATGGATGATTGTCACTAAATGACAGCAAAATAGTACCAAACAACAAATATCTAGCGACAAAAAGTTCTACAACAAACTACCGTCCTATTCACCCACTAATGTTTCTTCGATTGGAAACGCTTTAAAAAATTGACTATTTTAGGTAAGTTACTATGTTGTGAATTTTAACAGTCGCATATTTTCTGTAACAGCATTTCTCGCTTGAAAAAATATTCGTCATCCAAAAGAAACTGTTAGTTCTCACATGAACACCTTTAGAACTACAATTTGTTGATCATTTGAGGTGCCCATAGAGTCCTGCTCGATAAAGCAAAGATAATACACGATAGTAGTACTATTTTATTAAGAAAAAATCGTGCTCCTAGAGAAGACTTCTATCAAATAATAACACAGAGAATAGCAGTCAAGTTGAACGATCCTTGTTTAGTCTTTTTTATTTTCTTCTCATTTTCTATTTTCAAAATATTTAAGATTGTATATGGTATATTGAATATCTCCACATATATTGAACCTCACTTTTACATAAATAGCAGCTATACATGATTGACTGATCTTATCAGCATATACTACGGGACTTCTTTTAAGTATATATCATCGAATGATGTCCGGATACAGCATACAGATAAAACGTGTTTAAAGGAACATCGCTAGGGTCCGAGCGGATCTTTGGCAACCAATAATTGTTCAAATGTACTTTGACCACATCAAACATTGAAAGTGTGATCCTATTTGATTGAATGATGCTACTAACATACTCATCGAAGTGTCCCTCAGATGTATTCAGAGAGACGTAGTTTAATCTAGCACTATGCTTATGTATAGGATATCGAAATGAATATGGCTGCAGTCTGTATTGGCAACGAATAGTCTTGTCAGAGTTAGAAAACTACTGTGCAAGAGAACAACTCAGAGATTTTTTCGCTCTATTTCAATAGCAAAATAAATTTGACAAAAACAGCATATATTCAGACTTAATAATAGATGAAAAATGTATGACCAGCTGAAGAAAAATAGGAATCTAAAATTTCGAAATATTTCAGTTTTTTTTATATGAAAAAAAAACAGCAACAAGATAAGCTTTTGTTGGTTGCTATCGTTCAATGCATTTCATTGATAAACGACGAGATTCGAAAATGTGTTTTGTCGAATTTATTCTGCTCTTCAGAATGACTACAGAGAAGATATGATTATTTTTCTTTCCACAAGAAAACCCGGTTATAGAAAAAAACCTGGTTATTATAATCTTCAAAACAAAAACTAATCTATAATAGTAGTTTTTTGTGGATCTATTTTTTTAATACTATTCGAAATCGAGAGGAAAATTACTAGTTCCATCGAACGAAATCGATCCGATAATTTTTTGCTGCTGGTTATTGTATTTCTGGCACTTTTTTGGCTGATATCAAATCCTAATGATTCATTTGTTGACTAAGTATTACGCAAACGGACTTTCTTCAAAGCTACTAAATCATGTGAAAAATACTCATTAAAAAGAAAATGTAAGAAAAAAATTGTATTGTTTTTCTCTGTAACTAGCTTTCTTCTTGGTTTCATATAGCGAACATTTGAAATTTCTATAAAAGTTTCTGATTACTTCATTTCGAC